TCATGTTACCTTGATCTTCTCTGATTTGTTAAATCCGCCAACTGTCTGCGGTCTTTAATATGAAACAAACAACATTCCCATGAAAGTCCAGCCCGCTCGTCTATTCAGTTCCAATGTTTTCAAAAGCACTTTCGCCAAAATTAATCTTTCAAAATTACTGTCCCCTTTATCCATTTAAACTTTCTCACATCCAATCCTTGTTAAGCTTTTTGCTAGTAATTTAAAATCCTTTAAAACCTTTTCCCCCCTCCTTCTTTAATCCAGAGAGAATGTTGACTCAGCAAGTGGTTTTCTCTTATCCTGCCAATCGGAAGACCTCTTTGTAACTGTAAATGATTACATCTGATGGTGATTAAGAAAGTGAGGCTTTTGTGAACCTCATGTCCGTTACAAGCTGCATTGTGGTTGTGAGCACGATTGAAATCCCTCAGCTCCCAGCCATTTGACTCACAAGTTGACCACAAGAACCACATTCCTGCAGTTTCTTCACAAGAAGCAGCTGCCTGGAGCGCAGGTGGGTGATCTCACACTGTCTCCTTGTCCAGAGAGACTCCGCCAACCAGAATTTGCTGTCCGGTCACATATCTCTGTTGCAATGTTGTTCCCGCTCCTTCAAGGATGTCTACTTCCCCATGGAACCTCACTCAGGAAACCAGTTCTTAAACATTTTCAAGCACGTCTCTTCATGGATTGAGAAAAGAACCATAATTTGATGACACAATATTTCTATTCCTTCAGTAACAGCTGGTAAAGCCTTACGTTTCTCTGAGTAACAATTACTGGCCTTGCTAGTTTATGGAATTTAATACGATCGGTAATTCCTATGCAATATATTATATGCCGTATACATAATGATTCCAGTGTTTTTTATGAAGAAGAGAAAAACAAATGACAAATAAGGGGGGAAGGTTTTTTTTCTTTTTCAGCCAGAAGATTTTACTCTTGTTGCAAGAACAAATTTGGTGCCACACTGGAAAAGTGAAACTTTGCCAATGAAACAAGATCAGGCACAACAAAATTGAAAAATATGCAGCGATGACAAAACTGACATTTTTACTCTTGTGTCATTTCTGTTTAAATAATCTGCCAAAGTTTACACAATTAAAAAAAAAAGCAAAAAAGAGAGATTTTACCGTTTAATTATTCCACTGACCAGATAACTAAGGAAAAGTAGTTTGTGGTAGAATCGCATGCAGTATGATGATATAATTAGCTGGTCTCACCTGCTACCTCTGGTTATCAGGTAAGCACTCACTAAGATGCCATGGTGGAGTCATAACCATAAGGCTCCCCTTTTCTCATTTACAATGAGTTCTGTGTTCATTGTCCAAGAGATTTCCATTCTGAAAATATCAGTGGAAGAGCTTTGGATAAGCTGAACACCCTATTCTCTATGTAGGAGGTTAAGCATTTGGGGGAATGTTAAATTTGAGTCTGCCCTATTGGATGACGCCTTTATGGTTTATATTGTTTTCTGTTTGTTCTGTTGCTTGCCACCCTTATTGCTGGATGCTGCTCAGAGCTGTTTGGAGAGGAGCGGCATAGAGATTTCAGGAATAAATAGAAAATAAAAATAAATGTCAACATTGAACGAGATCTGAGGCACTCTAGAACAGTGTTTCTCAAGCTTAGGAACTTTAAGATGTGTGGACTTCAACTCCCAGAATTCTCCTGCCACCATGGCTGGCTAGGGAATTCTGGGAGTTGAAGTCCACACATCTTAGAGTTGTCAAGATTGAGAAACAGTGCTCTAGAATGATACTCCAGGAGGCAAAAGGGAGTTTCTTGTGTGTCTATATGCCTTTGTTTATGTGAAGTGTCCTCCAACTAGGAATAGGTAGGGAATATTTTGGAGTCAGAATGAACAAAAGTAAGGGTCCTTGCTGATGCTGATAAGAACATTGAAGCTTCTAGACATTTCCAGTTCAGGAGAGGAGAAAACCTCTAAGTGTTTTCTCAACACAACTGATACCTGTTCCGCAAAGCCCTTCACCACCTGCTTCTGTTTCAGATTGGTCTCTCCATCGAGGCTTGAAGTCTCAATATGGCAGATTCCATCTCCATCAGTAGAATATATCAGTATCATGTCAGCAGGAATTTCTTCATTACATGACAGTCGGATAAAATCACCCACAGTAACATCCTTCCAAAACTTATCTACATAGTCCTTCTCTCTTCTGAAAAACAAGGGGAAGGAGAACATCTAAAAGGGTAAATACAATTATAAACAAAAGGTGGAAAATTATAAGTGATTATGCCATTGTTTTAAATTCTTCCACTTCTGCTCCCAGGAGAAACTCAGCAGAAAGGCAGGATGGTTTCAGACTCCTCCTGCAACCAGCTTATTATCTGTTCAGCTTTCTACCGTATGTCAGATGACTGCATCAGAATGCAGTTTTCATTCCTTAAATCAGTGTTTCTCAACCTTGGCAACTCTAAGAAGTATGGACTTCACCCCCCAGAATTCCCTAGTCAGCATGCTGGGTGGGGAATTCTGCGAGTTGAAATCCACACATCTTAGAATTGCCAAGGCTGAGAAACACTGCCTTAAATGTCTGTAGAAATTCAGCCTTCTACATTAATTACAGAGAACACGTTTGTTCTCAACGGATGTTTGTATGTTGTGTAGTGCCTAAGAAAGGAACTCTTACTTTTTCACAATATTTTGCTCTGCAGGTAAGGGACATCATCCAGATGGGCTACAAATTTATAAATCTCTCACCAACAGGAACTGTTTAGGGACATTCTCCAGCAGCAGTCTCAAGTTCTGGTGCCTTGGTTTATTTTATTTATTTATTTATATTTCAAATTTGTCACTGCCCATCTCACTACAGAGCGACTCTTGGTGGTTACCTCCAGACCCCCGAAAAGGAGCAATGTAGAAGCAGTCAACTACCATTCTAAAACACTTTTTTGATTATGTGCCATTAAGTCATTTTTGGCTCCTAGCGACCACATAGATTTTCTCCATGGTAATCTATCCCTAACCTGGTCTTTCAGGTCTCCCAATAGTGCACCCATCACCACTGTAACTGAGTCCATCCACCTCGCTGCTGGTCGTCCTCTTCTTCTCTTTCCTTCCACCTTTCATAGCATTACAGCCTTCTCTAGGGAGCTAGGTCTTCATATAATGTGTCCAAATCTACAAGGCTAACTCCTAGACATTCAGATATAAGGTACCATCTCTTTGGGGAAATTAGCTTTACGTTGTATATGCGCTTTGAATGGGTATCTGCCCCACCATCTTATAGTAAGATTTCTACTCACCTATATATGTTAAGCAGAGATACTCAACCAGATACTTGCAAACCATTCTATGCACAAATCCTACTTTGCATGGAACAGCCAGGCCCAGGGGACATACATCAGGACCAGAACATGCACATTTCAACTGGACCTGGATATTAATTTCAGGCATGGAATGGGTCCCAAGTAAAAGTTTTCAGGTGAGGGGTGTGAGCAGGAAAAAGCAAAAAACATTGGAAGGAAGGTGCTGGAAGGTGCTAGGGAAAGACTGTCGAGATATGCTGCATTTGACGCTCAAAACCAATATCCTTGGCTTCAAGTGTAGCATATCTAGCCAGTCTGCCTCTCTTCCCACCTTCCTGACTCCTTTCTTTCCTTATCTCACCTTAGCCAATATTGCTGATGTCCTTGGGGTAGGGAAAGGAAGTTCAAGAAAAGGGGCGTGTGCTGCATTAGAAGTCAAGGACATTGGTGGTAGCTAAAAAGAAGCAGGGAAAGGAAGGTGTTGGGAAAATCAGCACACAGGCAGGCACAGAAACCATGTGGAGCAGGATGGGAGTATGGGGCAAGACACACTAGTCTTGCCCTTTTCACCCCATAAAGTTACTCTGGGTTTTATTTTGATTGAAACCCAGAATAAACAAATTGCCCAGATATCAGTTCTGCCAAATGCAACTCTTTCAGAAGGGTGCAGCAGAACGTCCAAACAGAATGTGTTTGCTTTGGGTTTATAGCAAATACATTTTTCACTCTAGATACACGCCTGCAACACATCCCCCTTCCCTCTGTAGGTGTTCTTTGTTCCAAGGCTATTCCATTAGTTCTAAGGAAGCGAGACAAAATCAGGAATCAGTCTTATAGCCTCAGCTACAGAAGATTTCCAATGAATTTATTCTCATTGATTTCAATTTATATGGCCCCCCATCTCATCACCATGATTCTGGGCATCCAACAAGAGGTAAAAACCCAGCGTAACAAGTACACAATAGTAAATGTAGAAGGGTTAAAAGGAAGAATCACTGAGGACAAGTAACATATATGCTTTCTTTTGGGGCAATGTGTTCCTTCACTTTAAAGTATGTAAAGGAACTAAAAGTAGAGAACAACAGAGAGAATTTCACCATCTAAAATATTAAATACAAATCAGCTATACTTCCTTTTCCAGAATGTTATCCGTGGTTTTCTAAGAGGACTTAAAAATCAATGTGCAAAATTAATATAGCACTATAAGTACAAAGCACAGTGGAAGCTGTATTAACATCCATCAGGACTACCTCTTATATCCTTAAATAATAGCATTAAACTGTAATTGCACCTTTTAAACATTGCATATATCCTAAAAAAGATATAATGAGTTCACAATCCAATTCAGAGTTTAATCTAAAAAATATTTTGAATTCAATTTACATGCAATCAATACTGCACATGTAAATTTACTTCTCAAGAGGCAGCTGTGGTTTTAACGTGCAACAAACACAAGGAATAAAAGAAAAACCGAGAAGGGAAGGGAAATGTGGAGGGTATTTTTATGTTGAATTATTTTATATAGGTATTCATTTTTCCTACTGGGCCTTGAAACGTTAGGTATATTACACAGGAGTAAAAACAATTTAAAATGAAATGAATGCATAATAAAGCCAGCACAGCATCAACTCAAGAATAATAAAAAGCATTATTCTGTAAAGATTGCATTTATCTAAAATTTTAACAGATTACAAGGTTTTTGAAATAGAATTTCACAGCTGAATATGATGTTCTTGTATGAACATACAGTGGAAGGTACAACATAATTGCTCCTGTTGAGAAAGGAGCTGGCTGCAGAAAATCCGATTTGGAAGGCAGGGGTAAAAAGACAGTTAAAAAGATGGTGAAGGGTTTATCTTTAATGGAGACAGGGGATCTAGGATGAGAAAAGTAACAGAGGTAAACCTTGGCAACTTTATGATGGGTGGACTTCAACTCCCAGAATTCCCCAGCCAGCATGGCTGGCTG